CAATGTAAAATTTAAAACCAATTGGAAATTAAAATATTTTTCTATTCTCTCTCATTAAATATTATATATAAGATATATTTTTCTTATCATTAGATTCTTGTAATTAAATCCACAAAATTAATTTTAATAGTATAAAAATAAATATTTTGAAAAGTAATTTCAAAACAAAACCATTTTCTTCCCTCCCGGTGGTGTGTAAGCAACTCAACCATTTGGGGTAAAATGGATTAATAAATAATGTCATAATTAAATAATAAAAAATCAAAATAAATAACTATGAAATGTAAGAAGTATTTTTATTAATGAAAATGGAATGCCAAATTCAAATCTACCTAGAAATGAAATGATGTCATAGTCAAATACCAAAATTTTTAATAATAGAAAATGCAAGAAATCACAAAAATAAAATATATAGAGAGAAAATTTTGGACACATCTAATATTATATATTTATAAAATATAAAGTATTGGGTACATCTCTAATATTGTGTATTCATTATATTGAACAAAAATAAGTTTTATACATAAGAAATAATTTTATCAATGATGGAAATGTAATACAAAATTTAATGTCAATCTAGAAATCAAACAATTTTTAATTTTAGATGGTGGGTTAGTGTTTTGAGTCAAATGATACCATAGACAAACAAAAATTAAGTGTGATAAATAAAAAATATTTTATATAATGTAAATAAAATATATAATTTAAAGGGAAAATTATAATCAATGTCGATTGTACATTTAAAATTAGTTGTAGGTTGGTCCAGAAACCAACAAAACTCTAACAACCGACTCTACATTTCAAATTATAAAAACCCCTGCCATGTTATTAGAAGTTTATGTGGTTGCTGCCAACATGGGACTCTTAGTCCATGTTGGACACAACAAAAAATCTATGCCGAAAATAGGTTTTCAGTTTCTCTCCCACTTTCTCTGTCTGTCGATCTCCCTCCCTTATCTCTCACTCTTACAGTCATATCTCGATCTCCCGCTCCCGCTCCCTCTGTCTCTCCCACTCTCTCATCTTTTGTAGCCAAATCAAAACTTCTCTCAATTGTTCTCCTTCAATCTTTCTCATTCTTCTCCCTCACTCCCCCTCTTGGTCAATAGCTCCTTCTTCCCCAAACTCTATCGTTCTCCAATTGATGTAAATTTCATAGCCAAGTGCTTCTTGTGAATTTTTATCAAATTGGTGTAATTATTTTTTAACCATACCAAGTCGGTCTCATGTTCTTTTATACGATATGATTAATACTATATACGTGTGTAAGAAAAAAAAAATAATAAGAGAGAGAGAGAGAGAGTGGGAGAAAATTGAGGGAGAACGATAGAACTTAAGGGAGAATGAGAGATCGACCGAGAAAGAGAATGAGAGAGATTGAGGGAGAATGATAGATAGAGAGAAATCAATATAGAGAATGTAAGCATAGAAACCAAAAACCATTTTTATTTATTTTCAAATCACGTAGTTGTTTAGTAGATAAAGATGATTGAGTGAGAGAGTATGAGAGAGAGAGAGAAACTAAAAACTTTTTTATTTTCCAATCACCCAACATTAATGGGCAATTTTAATATAAACTTTTTGTTGTGTCCAACATGGATTAAGAGTCCCATGTTAGCAGCAATCACATAAGCCTTTGATGACATGGTAAGGGTTTTTATAATTTGAAATGTAGAGTTAGTTGTTAGAGTTTTGTTGGTTTATGAACCAATTGAAGCCTAATTTTAAATGTACAGTCGACTGTGACTATAATTTTCCCTAATTTAAAACTAATCCAAAAGCAAAGCTATTTTCTTATCTAGATGGTGGGTTGGTGATCCAACTTTTCAATGAAACCCATGATGTCATAATTGAATAATAAATATTTCAGTTTATTTTTAATCATTATGTTACTTTTTTAATTTTCAATTTCTATCTTAACTATATATATATATATATATATAATTAACTTCCCCGTACTTAATATGGGGTCATTCACTAGTTTCTTTAATAAAAGTGGAGTTTTCACGAATGATTTCCCAACCAACCCACCCATATCCTACAATTACACGGGAACCCAACAGACAAACCACTAGACGGGTATGATAGAAGATTTAAAAGAGCCTAATCAAGCACACAGATGGGTATGAGAGGAGAAAGAAAACAAAAGATTTGAAAGAGAAAATCCGTGAGAAGATTTACCTGATCTATATGGGCTTGAAATCGCTCATTGGAATAGAGGCACTGGGGTCATGATATCCTCGATCTATTTCTTCAGATTTGTGCAACAATCGGTGCTCGTAGGTATTCAGTGAGTTGGATCGTCTTGGTTGAGCTAGTTTTCAATTAGGTCTTTGAAATTCATTTACGAAAATATTATACTTTCATGGTTCAATTTTAACTTCAAGTTTAATTCAATCCTAGAATGATGAATGAATTTGTTGCCTATAGGGGTGTCAATTGACTGGTTTTGGATTCGATCCAATCCGATCCAAACCTTATCAAATTAGATTTGGATGGTCCATTATAATTATTGGATTGGACCAATCCAAAATAAATTGGTCAATGTTCTAATCGGCCCGAATTGGACCTAAACCAAATTTCCAATAATCGGATCAAGAGGCCAAAATCCTTGTCCAATTTGAAACCAATCAAAACTGAAACCAACATAAACACTTTTATGAAAGTATTTTTATGAAAAACTTTTACAAAAATACTTTTATGGAAGTACTTTTACAAATTCACTTTTATGGAAGAACTTTTACGAAAGCACTTTTACAAAAATACTTCTACAAAAGTACTTTTGCAAAAGCATTCTTAAAAATGCACTTCTACGAAAGTACTTTTATAAAAGCACTTATATGAAAGTACTTTTATAGGAGCACTTCTATGGAAGTATTTTTACAAAAGTATTTTCATTAAAGTGTTTTACAAAAGTGCTTTTTCAATGACAAAAGGGTATATTTTTGTAATTTTCATATTTTCTTCAATTTAATATATTTTTGTAATTTTTTATATATTCTATTTTTTATATAGTTTTTGATATTTCATTCGATTTGGATTGGATCCAATCCAGTCCATTTACATTTTAATGGATTGGACTGGATTTGGTTTGTATTGGATATTGGATTTCGACTGAATTGCGTCCAGTCCATTTGTAAGTAGACTCACATTGGACTGGATCAAGTTAAACCAAATCCAATCCAATTGACAACTCTAGTTGCCTGTCATGGAAACGCCATCTGATTGAGACCAAAATGCCCCCTCTCGGGAGGTAAAGTCCATGGATTTGTTTCCTCAACATTAAATTGGCGGTGTGATAAAAAAATCCGGCATCTTGACAACCCCAAATATGATTGGTTTTGAGGGATTTTAAGGGAGCAGTAGAAGGTTTCATGATCCAACTCATTGGAGTTCGGTGTGGAACATTAGGAAAGGGGTAGCTCAACTAGAGAAGGTATTTTGCAACAATCAGTTCTCCGACTGAATATGTGACAGAGGGGAACAGTGGGAAATGAAAAAAAAAGAAAGACGGGAGAGTATGAGGTTGAAGGAGGATAGAAGAATGGGAGGTAGAGCAGCGATTGCCATTGCTAAGAGTTGCAGCGGTAATTGACAAAAACAAATGGAGGGGGAAAGAAGAAAAGAGAGAGAGTGTGGGTGTGTGTGTGTGACTGGAAAGGAGTGATTTGCCACCACTGTTCAACGAGGAAGATGATGAACAGTGGCGGTGAATAGTGGATTAGTTTTGAAGGATAGTTTTGATATTTTCAAAAAATTTAAGTGGCATATGAAATCACATGATATAGATTACTAACAGACTGTTAACGATAGAGACCTATTAGACACATTTTAAAAGATCGACGAATGACTTAAAACAACCCCTAAAGTTCAAGTTACTAATCAAAAATTTTCCCAAATAAAAATAATAACAACACCAAAATTGTTTGTAAATAAAAACAATGAGACACGGACATGGTTGATGCACCATCTCTTTCCCAAAGTTGTATAAATCATAAATACTCAAAAATTAAGTTGGATCTCTTCCCAATAAAAAAACCCATTCCAATATGATAGGTGTGAATTTGGATTAATTCCTCACAAATTGCTTCTAACATATTCTCAGTGCACGTCTGCAACATAACGTTGGTATAAAGGAACACTTGTATGAGATGTTTCCCTTGTGCCTGAGACGCTTTGTGAAGAGCAGATCCAGACTACTGCTCCTCACAAATGAGCACGTCACAAGCACATCCATCGTGGATTGAGAACATCTCCTATAAATAATAACTAATAAATACGGGAGATGTTCTCAATGCATTATTGGATGTGCATGTGAGGCCCGAGGTGCGAGGAACATATCTGGCCTCTGCCATACCTACAATGAGTAACGTTTTTTCAAGATCTGGGCTGTGAAAAACTCTCCATAGGTTATAATTTATAAAGTAGCATAGCTTCGTTACAATATTAAAATCATGCGTACAGTTTGGCAACCTTTTCGTTGATCCTACGTTAAAGTTTTAAACAATATTAAAATCATGCGTAACCAAACTAAGATCAAAGAGGGTCTCTCCCTGACACATGTGATACATCTATTGGAGGACAACGAAGGGCCATTCGAAACGTGGGACCCTTAGAAGGTGGTATAAGTGGTACCTTTCCCAATCTAACGACCACCGGCATATATGATATTGATATGATATAACCATGTACCTTCTGCCTTCAGTTCAGACTTTCAGTTCAGTTCAGCCTTTCCCTTGAGAATTGAGATCGATGCGTAATATGGAGAAAAAACCCAACAAGCCCTGGACCTCTGTTGTGACTTGAGACACAACGACTCCGACAGACCTCGTCCACCGTCCGAGAAAGGGCGTTTAGGTCATTTCGTGTGGAGATGCAACCGAATTGCCAACGGCCAGAAATATTTAACCACCACACCACAACCGCGCCGTGGGCAATTTCGTCATTATGGCATTAATTCTGTGTTCGAACGGGAATAAATAGGTTTTGTTTTCAAAAATATAATTCTGTAATCTGTGAAAAAAAGCCCAGCAAATCGCGGTTTCAACTTTCGCGTATATTCTTCTTTTTCCCTGAGGAGGTGTTCTGGTTCCTAGACCTTTCATCCTCCTCTTGGGAATCTTTTCTCTTTCTCTCTCCCTTTCTCCCTCAATAATGGCTGCTGAGAACTTCACCGACAAAAACGCTGTTTTCAGGAAGCTGAAAGCCAAGTCGGAGAACAAGGTCTTTTCCTAAATTTTAATGTTTTCTCTTCTTCTTTTGGTTGAAATCGGTTGCTCTTTTCGAGATCTAGTTCGGAAGTCCTAGATCTGAACGCAATCTTATTGGATCTCATCATTGGTTCGATTTGCTTTTCTGTTTCCAGATGTGTTTCGATTGTAATGCGAAGAATCCGACATGGGCGTCTGTCACGTATGGGATCTTTCTCTGCATCGATTGTTCCGCTGTTCATCGTAGCCTGGGTGTTCACATCAGCTTTGTGAGGTAATTCAATTCACCGGTTAGGGTGTTTTTGAGTTTCAAGCTATGATTTAGGGTTTTCCCGATCCACTTTTCCTGGTTTGGTGGAAAAAAATTGTAAAACAAATTTTCAGCATTGTTTTGTTCTCTTGAGTTTTGTCTTTTGTCAATAATTTAACCTAATGTTCTCCACGGGTTGGTACATGGATCGGACTGATGTTTGGAATTTGCCTTCAAATTACCTGGCAGTGGTTGCATGGTTTGAGAATTTGTTTTCAGCAGGCCTTGCATGCACAGGATATTGGACCAAATCAATCATTTGGAAAGGAAATTTCTTTAGGGATAGAGGGATGCCCGAAATTACTATAAAAATGAAAGAAAAATAATTGTGCTAGTTATCTTTTGGCCTAAATTTTCCTTAAAACATTGTGAGCTTGGTGGATCTCTGGATAGGTACTGTAAGACTAGCATTTTTCGTGGAGACAGAAATTGAAGAAGTTGTTTCTGATGTAACTAAGTGTGGGTGGATTAAGTGATGATGTGGTAGTATGGTGTGATCGAATCCTCATTTCTTGTATGCATTATCTAATGAAAGTTAAATAAAAAGGGATATGGACGAGAGTCCCAAAATTGAACTATTTCAGCTTCCCCCTCTTCATCTCTACTATATCCCACATCCAGAGAAGGTATATGCTCTTGATGTTCTGTTGCTGGAGGTGTTTGCATGGATGATGCAGAGATGAAAGGATATAAAGATATTATAGAGAAGATAGTGATGTTGTTTTGGATCAGCATGGATTGGAGTATTGAGCTTTGATTTCATGTCATCATGTGATTAACAATCGCAGTTGCAGGATTGTATGCTATTTGCACTCGACAAATGGTTGCATGAAACAAGCAATCTGATCTAGTTTTTTACAATACTTGGTCTGTATTATTCTTCCTTTTCCTCCTTCATGTACAATTCACAACATTCTGTGAAGGGATGTTTTTTTAATTTAGAATGAAAAAGAGCCACAAGAATAATTGGGTTTGGTTAGAGTTATGAAAGTTAACATTAGCTTGCATTAGGATTATATAGATGTGGTTGGAGATTGTGTTGGCTCAGGGTTAGGTTGAGGGTTCAACATTTTTGGTTGCATTAGGGTTGACGGTTGACATCAACTTCATCCAACTTGATACAAGTTGCTCTTATATGACATGCCAAAAAGTATGGTTTTGTATCATGCTAGTAATTTGATTCTAGGGGGTACATACATGAAAATTGTTCTAAAACTAGATTTACATTAGCCCCTATATGATTAGATGTCCAAATAGTGCACTTAATACCTTATTAAGAATCATTATAATGATATTCAGTTCTTTTATTGAATAACAAGGAAGTCTCATCATTTTCCATATGTAATGACTCATAAATGGCACCATGCATGTCAGGTTGACCATCTTTGGGTGGGTTAGACCTTACCATGTCCATCATGGGCCAGATGAGCCAATTTGAGCCAATATGAATAGTTGCTACCTAAGATGAGAAGTTGGCTGGCAGCCTTTAAGGGAAACCAAAATGGCCACCTTTGGGTGGCAGAAACCCATTTTAGGAACTGGTCATTTCAGTGATTTAAAAGGCGCACCTAGGTGCACAGGCGAGGCACATTTTAGGGTAGGTGCCTTGCCTAGGTCCTAGGCGCAGCACTTTCAAAAGGCACATGCCTGGTGTGCCTAAGCGTGCGCTTGATTTACCTTGCGTCTCAGCCTAGGCGTGTGCCTTTTTAAATTTACACTTTTGCTTTTTTTTTGAACCTAGCCGGAGCGGAGTAGAACCCCCTATTTGCTAATGTTGTTCATTCATTCATTCTAATAAAATATCTTCTTAAAAGACAATTAAAATTATAAAATCATTATTTTTATGTGAGAATTAAGAATTTAAGACCCTAACATGGACTTGTTAGGGATTGCCTCTAGGGGCTTGGTACAAAGGCGGCTTGTAGAATTAGGAATGCAATATGTTTTACATCACATTAGCTACTTGAAGTAATGAAATTGAGGAAAAAAAGAGATTGTGGGTTTTACATGCTTGGAAATGTTTTATATGTTTGATTTTATTTTTAAATTTTCATTTGAATACGCTTTACATGTTATGTTTATGTATTTCAATTTTAGATAGTAGGTTTTTTAAAATATTTATTTTTAAATTTAAGTTTATATTTTTTATTAATATACATTATATGTTTTTGATTTTTTTTGAATTTTTTGACATTTTTATTTTAATTTTTTGACTCTTCTTTTTTGTATTTTTGCACCTTGCTTCAAAAAGGCGTATGCCTCACTTTGCGTCTTGCGCCTCGGGCGCAAATTGCCCCTTGCGCTTTTAAAACACTGGGGCATTCTATGGCATGTTTGGTCACCTGCATGGAAGATCATCTATAAAACTTATTAGAAGATGCGATTTGTTGCAAGTTGAAGGCATAGTTGTCAAGGCGATGCCTAGGTGACAAGGCATTGCTAAATGCCTCGCCTCGCCTCGCCTAATCGCCTAGCAGTTTTCTATAGCATGTTGTAAAAAACTTTTATATTCTTAATTTTTTTAGGTTATAATTATAAAATAGACATTTTTAAACTAAAATTCATTTTGTGTATTTATATACTAATTTTTTTTATTATTTTCTTATTTGTTAGGGTTTAATCAACACAAACATTGCTAAATGCTGTATTGAACCCTCAAAGGCTTCAAAACCTGAACCAATAAGTAAGGAAGAAGATAAAATGTTGTCCAATCAACACATTTTCTTCTTTTTCTTTACTAATTTTGTGTGTTTATATACTAATTTCTTCTTCTTCTTCCACCTTTTCTTTTCTTCTTTTCCTATAGCAGAAATAGGGGTTCAGCCCCTATATTTTTTGAATTTTCTTTTTTTTCTTCTTTTTCTTCTCATTAATATGTTGGAATATGTTGATTTTCTATACTTTAACATGAAGTTTATACTTTCTTATGAAAATTATGGATATTTATTAAGGAAATATGATTATGGAACCTAGGGAACTACCCTAGGATACGTGTTTTTACTTAAAAAAATCCATCGCCTAGGCGACTAGGCAACAAGGCACCCCCCCTGTCGCCTAGCCTCACCTTGGCGCCTTGAAAACTATGGTTAAGGCACTAGAAGTTAAGGGCAGAGTGGCAGACCTTTAAGGACTTGGGTGGAAGTAGTAACTAGTAAGTGATGATTTAAGGGCCCAAAATGTAATAATGGATATGGCACTGAACAAAGTGGAATGATGAATCCAGATTCATGTAGCTAACCCCATATAGTTGGGACAAGGCTTAGATGATGATGATGATCCTCTATGGCATGTTTTCCATAGATTGAAAAGATCCATAATTCTATATGGTGAATCAATGATCTGAGAGTGATGACCTTGTATCATTGCACAATCTATCTCAAATTGTGGATCTGTATGTTGAATAAGTTATCTAGACTGAAAATCTGTGTATCTCATGGTGGCAAGGTCTAAGAGTCTCTGTCCATCAAAAGATGGGAGAACCTTATGGAAGCCTCTTAACCAATGACCTATTCTTTAGACGTTGTTGATGCACCTTCTTGGTACTAGTCTTCCTTCTGAGTGGACTTGTTCTTAAGGTTAAGCTCTAAACACGTGCCAATGGATTGAATTCAGTTTTTTTCTTTAATATAATTTTTCTTTTTACTCTCCAAAAACACAGGTTCAGCTCTAAATGTTGAACACTGTTATGGCCTTGATGAAATTGTCATTTGAAGTTAATTATTGATGGCAGTTTTCCTTTCTTGGCAGTTCACTTGACATATATTCCTAAATGAGCAATGCTAGGTCACACTATTACAATATCTGTGGCCCTTCGGTTTGTTGCATTCTGTGGGTTGGGTTTAGGGCCATCCCAGGCTCAACCCTAGGTAATGTCCGAGTTGGCCATCCTAGGTCTAGACCAAGCTAAAATTAACACAGCTTGGGTTATGCTTGGGCATTGGAGATTTTGGTTGGGGCTGAGAGTTCTCTTATTCATGTTTATATTGTCAACACAATTGGTAATAGCCATTCGTATTTTGAACTTTCAGTTTAGAAGTTGTCTATAAAGGAGGTTTACTTGGAATTTAGTGAAGCAAGGTCTACCTGTTTATTGTATGTGCTCTTAACATATGGTGCCTGCCTTGTCACCTAGGAAATCTCCTGATACATTGGATGTGTTTAAAATATCCTGAGCAACACTGCTAATGTTCCACCTTTACAACTGTGTTCATATTTGCTTTCCTCAGGCTGTAAATTCCAGTTTAGCATAGAAAACCAATGAAAAATCTACATGTAATACACTATCTACATAGTTTATGTGGATGGATTTTGTTCAAATAATTGTGTGTGTGTGTGTGTTTGGTAAATACTTGGTATAAACAAATGTACATACTACATAGTGTCATACTGTCAGTAGACTCAGTACATAGAATATATAATGTCAAGTTGTAGTGTATATACATGTAATAAATGGTTGGGCCGACTCTGGTAAAATTAGCTTCTATCATAAGAAAAGTGGGAGGTGGTTGTCTGGGAGATTGACAAGTTCAAACTTTTTGGGGAATTGATGACTTCAGTTGATGATTCTTAACAAGGTCAGAGGAGCAATGCCATTTTCCTTTTATTTTTACCTAGGGTGAATTTCTAGAATGAGGAGATGAGATCCTGATATGATTCTCGTAAAACATTTTATGTATATATCTCAAGTTGAAGAGAAATAGGATTCATTTTCTATTATCTTTATCTATCAATTGTAAGAAAAAGAGAAAAACGGGAGATTCGACGAGATCACTTTCCTTATGCTTTAGTGGTTTTTGAAACTTTTCTTAACCTTCTCAAAAAGGTGTGTGTGTTGGGGGGGGTTTGGAAACTTTTTGACAAAGAGGGCAAAATATGAATGAAAGATAAGTAAACTGATGTAAAATGGATAAAAGGACCAGAAAATGAAAACTGAGGATTTTCCCTTTCTTGTAGAAACCACTTGATCTTTTCAAGTAATGCTGGTTTGATGGCTTTGTTTGAGGGTTTCTTTTCAAGTAATGCTGCTTTAAGGGCTTTGTTTGAGGATTTCTTTTCAAGTAATGCTGCTTTAAGGACTTTGTTTGAGGATTTCTTTTCAAGTAATGCTGCTTTAAGGACTTTGTTTCATTTCACTTTAGGTCTACAAATCTTGATTCATGGACTCCAGAGCAATTGAAGATGATGAGTTTTGGGGGAAACAACCGTGCGCAAGTCTTCTTTAAGCAGCATGGATGGACTGATGGAGGCAAAATTGAGGCCAAATATACTTCAAGAGCTGCTGATTTATATAGGCAACTACTTTCAAAAGAAGTTGCTAAAAGCTTTGCTGAGGAGGCTGGTTTGCCCTCATCTCCTGTTGCTTCTCAGTCAGCTCATGTATCTAATGGACTGCCTGATGTCAAGATTAATGAAATCTCAAAAGAAAATTCTTGTGAAAAGCGTGAAACTCCTGAAGTGACTGTATCACCTAAAGCTTCTACTCATACAGTTGTTACCACCACTGTTAAGAAGCCTTTTGGCGCAAAGAAGACTGGAAAGACAGGAGGGCTTGGAGTCCGAAAGCTTACTACAAAGGTGCTTCCATGTTTTTGGCTGTATGGATAAATCAGTCCGCTTCTGAAATGTAATGCAATGATTTATTTATTTTTTATGGTGAGTGACAAATGCTTTTATATTCCTAAATGCAGCCAAATGAAAGTCTCTATGATCAGAAGCCTGAAGAACCAGCTCCTGCAGTTGTTACCTCTACTACTACCACCACAGAATTTGCATCATCTTTTCCTTCCCGCTTTGAGTATGTGGAGAATGTCCAATCAAATGATGCCAGTTATGGAGGCACACAAGTGACTAATCATGTTGCCCCTCCTAAAGCATCAAGCTTCTTTGCAGAATATGGAATGGATAGTGAATTTCAGAAGAAGGGAAGCGCCAGTTCAAAAATCCAGGCAAGTTTTAAAGGTGTTTTGTTTTTTCATGCTTTCAAGTAACTGAGCAAACAGTGTTTTTTTTTTTTTTTCTTTTACAAATTGGTATTGTTTGGTACCATAGTCATTTGGTTTCAATTGTATACTACAAAACTTCAAGTGCAAGGTTAAAAAACTGGAAATCTGTAAGAAGGGCCTAAAGATCTATTTCCAGCTTGAAGACATTACATTTTCTCTAAGGAGTTTGAGACAACCTACTGTTATCATTTGGTTTCAATTTGTGCATTCACATTGAAGATAAACATTGACTTACTAAAGTTAGATTCTTTTTCCTCCTTTACATGCAGCTCAAAAGATTTAACACATGGTCCAAATAAACCCTCCTTTATTGTCGTCCATCATATTAAAAAAAACTAAAAATGTAGATTGCTATTATGATTAGTCAAGATTCCCAAACAAAGTTGGTTATGTGCTACCGGATATGCTTGACTTATTTTCCTCCCAGTTGACTCCCTTACCCACAAAGAGGGGAAAGTTATAGCGGTATGACATTAGAGCAGCTATTGTCTGGAGTATTTGGAGTGAACAAAATGAGAGGATCTTCAAACAAAGAGCAGGATGCCAACACCTATGATACCCAGATACCTGTACATTTCTAGTGTGCCAGTGTCAGATGCAATCTAATACTGGATACTACATGGATACTTCTAGATTTGCTCTGTAGCATTATGACTTCTAAAATATGTAAAAATGTTGTGTTTCGAGAAATTATTCTATAAAAAAATCTGCACATGGTAGAAATTTAATTAAATTTGGCAAGACATAAGTCTTGAGAAATGGAATTTAGCTTCAAAAACTAGATATACATGCATCGCATAAGCATATTACATGGGATACCCTTGCAAATATCTGTGTCATTTTAGGAAATAGAGAGTTATATCCCTGTGTCCTGTATGTGTGACTGTGTCCCTAACTCCCTATATGCATATGGGAACTCATAATGGTAGGGTAGCATATTGGGTCATGAACAGAGATGAATCCAATGGTGTTTCTATGGACAATATACTAAGAGGTTGGTCAACAGTGGCAGCAAGAATAGTAGCTTGTATTAGACCAAATGTAGGAAGATTAAAGCTAAATTTTGATCGGTGCAGCCTTGGCAGGTGGGGTCCTTCAGGAATTGGAGGTGTTACTAGAAACCAGAATGAAGACATCTTACTAGGCCATGGCAGTCCAGTAGTTAAAGGAAGTTTCCTCAGATCTTAAATACTTGCTCTTGCAAGGGCTAAAATTGAGTGATTCGTCAAGTTGGACATAACTAATTATACGAGGCTGCCAGGTTATTATATGCTGGCCGTTCTCAAGAGATGAGGGGCCCTAGACTCTTAGACACTTGATAACAGAAGCTAGGATGCTGGTAACTCATAAGCAGGTCATACATGCCAGTAGCACTGCAAGTTCCCTTGCAAGTGTGGGGGTAAATAGAAATGACTTGTCATGGGGTTTCACCTGGTCCTGGCAGGTGTTGTAAACAGTGTGACAATCTGCTCTTGAAGCAATTGTGTTGGCATGGGGAATTGAGCACATGGCCAATCCAGTTAGCCCCCAATCCAACTGATGATCTGGACCATCTATATGATCTCTCCATGAAGCAGAAATAGGTGAAGTCATGTATCCATCAAAAAGAAAAAAAGAAAAAAAGTGGAGTCATGTAGTGAAACTCCCTACTTGAGCTGGTATATTGGTGTACCCATTGTATATGTCAGACATCTTTGTGACTGGTAATTCTTTATATACATCACCTATTCACCTTGGGTTAATGCATAAGCTAGCTGTTTGTGTAAGCACGCATATGCAAAGGTAGGATTAGGATTCTTTCTGCTTTTTGTAATATTCTGGTGGTTGGTCACATCAGCATTGAATCTTATAATATCAGAGATATTAAAACCTCCACTTGGTTCTACACAGTTTGTTATGCTTAATCATCTTGGCATTGTATTGTTTAGCAGTTATGTACTTAATGTAGTTAGATGGGTCATTTTATTATTGCATATTTATGTCCTGTGCTTAAATATTATGATCAGATTGAAGAAACTGATGAAGCAAGGAAGAAGTTCTCAAATGCCAAGTCTATTTCATCAGCCCAATTTTTTGGGGATCAACAAAAAGCAAGAGAAATGGAAGCTCAAATCTCTTTGCAGAAGTTCTCGGTATGTGTGCTAATTAACCATTAATGATGTTGCAATATGATAAACTCCAGTTGTTGGAAGAAACGACCTTTGTGCTATTTCTAGTTATTCTTATCTTGGGAGATCTTGAACTTCCTCTCTTTGGGGGAAGTAACAACTAATCAATGACAAGATCAAGAAAACAAGAATCTTTTGGCACAGATTATTGGAGTTGACATTTTTTAGGATGTCTGACTATTTATGGCTCACTTGTGTAGAGCTCAACGGCTATCTCTAGTTCTGATCTCTTTGGCCAGAACGTAGATGATTCCCGACTTGACCTGACAGCTGCTGAACTCATCAACAGACTCTCTTTCCAGGTAATTGTTACTCGTTTAAACTTGCTTAGTGTTGATGAACTGGAGGTTAGTACCTGTCAAATCGGGTTCATTCTTTCCAGAAGGTTACTTGATGCTCGATAAGATCAATGTCTTATCTATTTCTATTCTAAAGGTTTTGTAGCCAAGTTAATTTAAATCTAAGACTGCTTGGTTTTTCTTCCTTCCCAGGCATCACAAGACATCTCTTCCCTTAAGAATATTGCAGGAGAGACAGGGAAGAAGCTCACTTCTCTGGCTTCTAATTTCATTACAGATCTACAGGATAGGATCCTGTGATGAATGTGTCACCATTGCTGTCATCATATCAGTCGGTCATCATCATCATTTAGGATACTGATGTGTGCATGCTCAAGAATGTCTAAAGAACTCTTTACAAGTATCAGAAGGTAAATAGTCAATATTAGGAGTTCATTGCAAATTCTTTCAGGGAGAAAAATAAGATTTAAGCTTGCTGCGTATAGTTTTTTTCGGTTTTTCATATGGTTGAGGGAGGGCAATATTTGAAGTGAATGTCCACTCTTATGTTTTTTAGAGTTTTAGTTTGTATTAAGAAGTACAATCTTCAGTTTCTCTCTTTAGACGATCTGAGTCTCACACCATGTATTACTTTATGAACAAAGAGAGACCAGTAGGGCGTTTTTGAGATGGTCAATATTGAAGTCTTCTCTCTCTCTCTAATATATACATCTATCCAAAGTTCAAAGTATGGAAGGTATATTGGAAAAAGGTAATTTTAAGAGATGTATTGAGATACACTTTGGAAACTTATAAAAAATCAATATGCATATGGATATACTAAAAAATCATTAAAAAATATGAACAATAAAAATGAGTTTTATGTGATTGTAACTAATTTATTTAAACATAAAAACCATTTTTTAATGATTTATAGGGGTATAATTAGTAACCATTGAAAAATAATAGATCCTTAAAAAATATGAATAATAAAAATGAGTTTTATGTGATTGTAACTAATTTATTTAAACATAAAAACCATTTTTTAATGATTTATATAAAGTATAGGGGTATAATTAGTAACTGGTGAAAAATAATAGAACTAAAATGTATGTGTATATATACTAATATTTATTAGTTAATTTTTTAAAGTCATTTATTAGTTAATATTTATTATATATAGATTTAGATAATATTTATTATGTATACAAGTTAATATATACCTTAATTTTTAATAAATAAATATAATTTGTATTCATCTTATTATTATATAAATATTAATAATCAAATTTTAGCATTGGGAAACATCCACCAAGGCAAAAAAGATTAATTTAAGTATAAAAAAAACATGTTTTAATAAGCAATTAAGGTTGGCATAATAGTTAATTAATTATTGTTGTAAGCAAATGACTTGGGTTGGAAACTTGTTACCTTTGGTTTGTGATTTTTAACAAGTTATTTGACTTAAATAACATTTAATGACATATTAAATACTGTAATTAAAGGTAACTCAAATGAGCATTTAATTAAATAATATTAGCATTTAGTGACGTCTCAAACTTTAAGGCTTAATTAAAATTGATATTAATGAGAGAGAGGAGACAAATTAAATTTAAATTTAAAAAGGAGAGGGAAATTAAATTCGGCTGATACATAATGTGTATCGATTTCAAGTATCTATCCGTCAATTGGCATTATTATCTTACTTTGCCAAGTAGTACTATTATCCCCCACTTTCTCTTAAATTATCTCTAATTCCTATTTATCCTCTCCCTCACTTTTTATCTATATCTATTTAAAGAAAGTTTGAATTAACAAATTTAAAATCTATTTAAATATTATAATTAAATTATATAATAACTTTAAAATATTATTTAAAACACCAAAATAATTTTAATAGATTTAATAATATTCACATTATTAATAATTTTCATTTTTACAAAATATATCATGAAATTATGTACTAACAATATAAATTATAATTTTGCAAAAATGTTATTCAAATGACAAAAATTTAACATAAAAAACAAAATATTATTTAAATATTTTAATAATTTTAAAATAAATAAAATTCAAATAAAAAATTAAATATTTAAATAGCTAAAATAAGGAAATTATGTAACGAATTTAAAATAATTCTTAAAAGTAGAAAAATAATTATAATAAATTTCATAAAAAAATAATTAATATTTTACAAAATCAATAACAAAATTATGTAATAATAGTATAAATTATAATTTTATGGATTATTAAATTTAATAAATAATTAATATTTTAATATTTTAAATAATGATATCATTTAAATAACAAAATAATATTGTAAACTAATTTCACTTATATCAATTAATAATTCTAGAAAATAAATTTCAAAAAATTAATATTTATTAATAATAATTTTAAAATTTGAATCTATATTTATTTTATATTATATATATATATATATATTAAAATTAATATTTATTGTATTTTTAGTAGTTATTTATTGTTTTTTGTGATAAACATTTTTTTTTTGAAAAAGGTAAAGTATATTAAAGAAAAAAGGTATACAAGTTGTATACATCAAAAGGACGAAGAAAGTTCCCCAGGTACACAACCTAGATAGACAAAGAAACCTCGGCCCTAAGAAACCTCCCAGGTTAGGCCAAGAACCTAAAGAAGACAAAGCACCAATTAAAACCCAGCCCCCAAACAAAGTCCTTTGAAAAGGGGCAATAATAGACCCTAGTAACCTCCAAAAAACAAACCCCCGAAATTAGAGCGGGAGTGCAGCAACACCACGCCATGACTAAGCAAGGGATGACGGTCTGCCCTTGCCTCTTGAGTTGCATAAACCTCTAGAGGGTGGTTTTGCTACCACCACATCATAGAAGTCGGCAAGTTGTTTGAATTTAGGCCTTGTTTGCTTTTCGGAAGTTACTTACCCAAGTAAATACAGTTACCTGGGTAGGAAAAACTTACCTGGGTAAGTGCATTTACCCATGTTCTTTAATTTCTAATGTAAATATGGTAATGACCATTTTATCCATAAAAATCTATTATTAAAAGGGGCCTTTTTATCCCATTCAAGTGTTGGCAATTTCCCCCTAGGTGGGAAAGTTATTTACCCCTTAGGAGATGGGTATCACTTACCCACATAGGAAAATAAACTTTCCTTGGTCCCCACATAAATCTGAAAAAGGAACATGGGATTCTTGGTCAATGGGAACCAAAATCCCATTGACCAACTTCCCCACCCCCCCTTCAAAATCCAAAAAAAGAACACCCCCTTTCTACATCTCAGGAGAAAGTCATGGTTGGATAGGGAGCACCCTGAAATCGTGTTGTCCATATCTAAGTCAGATTCCACACTTGAGCCTTGACTTGTTGCTTTAGACCCAGATTCCAAATCAAGGATCAAAATTTCATCACGTACCGGCCTATATCGACCGGTACATATTGTATCGGAGCCTTCCCGATGCGCCCCTACAAGGGGTGTTTCGGGTTGGCGAGTGGTTCAGGGGGTAGATCAGCCTTAAACTGATCCCTTTGAACCATTTTCGAAAAAAAAAACATAAAAAATAGTACCAACACAGATTGATACACCGTACCGGTGTATCACCCTGTACCGATATTTTGAACCTTGCTCCAAATCTCCGCTGAGTTTGGCTTTGAGCTGTTTAGAATAAAAGTCTTCTTAACCATCCACAAATGAAACCCCGATGAATTTTCCGATCTCCATCGTCTTTTCAACACTAGCCACAGATAAGGATCCTGATCATCCTTATCTGTGGGCTCAACTAAATTGTTGTCTTCATTAGAAGGAGTAGCTTGTTGACAAGGAGGGTCTTCACCAAAGTTTAGGCTGCAAGAATCCATGCCTGTCTAAACAAGGGGAAGAAAACACACTTGGGAATATTTTCAATAATTATGTATAAATCTATTTTTGTTATGTTATTTAACAAAAAAATTTCAATAATTATTGGAGATTAAACTACTACTATTTAACTTTTTAAATTTAATTTATTGTATTAATTATAGTTTTGTTATAAATTTATATTTAGTAATTATATATTTTAGTTATAATTTATTAATTAATATTTATTAAATATTAAACTATTATTTGAGATTACACTATTTATTGACTAATTTAATATAATTTTAGTATTTATTGTACTTTTGTAATTATTGTATTTTTATTAGTTCTGTATTGTATTTTCATTATAAATTTATTTCTAATAATTTTGTATTTTTGTTATAGATTTTCAATAACTATTGGAGATTAAACTATTGTTATTTATTAGAGATTAGACTAATTTTAGTTGAAATTAGGAGTGTTCACTAATTGGTTCGATTTGGTTATAGGCTATTTGGCCAACCAAATTGACATGGTCACTAACCATTAGTGAAAATCGACCAACTTGGGTTGTAATGGTTTAGGTCAATTTTTAGTTTGGTTGGTTATTCAAATAATTTAAACTTAAAAATTAAATTTAAATTTAAACAATTATAGTGGTATTTTATGTATATATATATATATATCCGTGTGTGTGTACACGTTAGTTTGGTTTTGGTTGGTTTGCAAATGGCCAAAACGAAACTTATCCAACTTGTTCGGGTTGGGAAATTGTTAAATCAAAGCCGATCGAAAATATTAGAAACTGACCAACTCAAGTCGAATTAGGTCAGATTAGTCATTTTCTTCAGTTTCATGAACAACCCTAGCTAAAATTAATTATTGTTATTTTTGTATTGTAAAAAATTATTAAAAGTAGTATATAAAATATAAATAATTATTAATTATTTAAAAAGTTAATATATAAAACAATTGTGTACTCTCATGCATTTCTATCATTTCGCTTTCACTTAACAAAGCCCATGCATTGCACAGATCCTCACTATATCTATCTATCTATCTATCTTTCAGTTCACGTCACCTTGCTTCTCCTTGCTCCATTACCGCAACCCTCCATTCTCCTTGATCCTCTTTCCTCTCTCATCATTCCTCTCCCTTCCCATTGGGTTCTCTCTCTCCCCTCACAATTCACGTCCCTCACTTTCTATAACAACCTAACTTCTCTCCTTAATTAGTTCAATACATGTTTTATCCTCTCCTTCACTTCTATTTCTAATTCTCCTCTATTCTCTCTACTTTCCCATAAAAATAGGGCCATAATTTATTAAGATTTGGTTTTCTAATTCAAATAATATTTTATATCTATAGACGTGATTTCAAGCAAAGAGAGGGGAATAAGGGGAATTCGATGTTTCTTATATATTCATGGCATCTTCCACTATTGTTAAATAATCCATTATTTAAAAAATATTAAATAATCCAATATTTAACAAATACTAAATAATTTAATAATCTACCAAAAAATAATAAACGGTCCATTATTTAATAATTTTTGTTTATTAATAAATGTTCAAAATTTCAACGTTTAGCGTAATTTACATTAACCATTGTAATTTAATAAAAAATCATTAAATTTTTATAATAGTAATTTATTGATAAAAGATATTACTAATTAGTGTAATTTAATAGTTTCTATAAAATCAATAATTATGGTTAACAATTATCAAATAATTTAGGGGAACTCTTTAACTAATAATCCATAAATAGTTTTAAAATAAGTAATTAAAAAATTAAGAAATTAGTCTATGAAAAAATATTCTCCAAAACTATTTAAATAATAATAAAATATTATTATTCAACAAATAATTATTAAAAAATTTAGGAAAATTAAAT